AATACAGTAAAAACTCGTCCTCAATGACAATTTTCTTTGAAATTTTTGGAGACGTTTTAAAGGAAATGGCATTTAAGCTCTACTACAACTTCAAAATTTGAAGCTCCTTTTTACAGACAATTTTTGAGTTTTTTAAAATTCTTCATTAGAAGTTATTTGAAGAATATCTACTCACAAATACAATATTTTTTTAGAATTTGCCGGAAATGCGCATATTCAAGCCAGAGAGACCTTTCAAAAAGGTATGTTTGTGTAATCTTTGTATATAATTGTGTAATTTTTTTAAAACCGAAAGAATACAGCAAAATGGATTTTATGTCATCATAATGAGTTTAATTTGCACTATCCATACGAAAATTTGAATGACATTTTTAAAGCACATGTACTTATAAATAAAATAGCGTGAATAAATTGCCGCTAATGTAAATATTCACGACGCGAGAGACAAGTCAAACAAATTACATTTTTGTAATATTTGAAATAACAAAAGAATACAGCAAACTGATCTTTACGTCATCTCATAGAGTATATTTAACACTATCCTTACCAAAAATTTAAAGAAAAAATTTGGAGTCGTTTTTGAGAAAATTTTATTTTGTATTTTTTTAAATTGCACATGTGGCACACAATATTGCGCGAAAACGACTATGAGTTTCAAAACAATGTATATAACATTAATGAAAGAACTCATTATGGAGAACAAATTTTATTTTAAGAATAAATCATTATCTTCAATTTTGTTGTTGTAGGAAAACGTCGAAAAAATACAAACTTTTGCAATTTTGCGAAATACAGAGTTAAACGTGAAAGCTTATATAAGTGTATGCCACCTATACAAGTGTATTTTACTCTACTCTCAAGAAATTTAAAGTCAAAATTTGGAGCCGGTTTTTGAGAAAATTATGAAAATGTCCGCTTCATGTAAAGTACACATTTGAAAGAATGCGTTTCAAAACCCCAAAGCTTTGACTCGAGCCAGATGGTCAGGGGTTTCTACGATTTGGAAAAAATCGTACGAATGGCTTAGCCGGTAGTGGTGTTCACAGACGGACGGAAGGACAGACACGTTTTGCCGTGAATTGGTTTTTCGATATCAAGGAACCACAAAACAGGGATTCTGGCTACAAGATTCTTTCTTCATTTAACAACTGGATTAATCCACATTTTTGTTATCGGGGCCCGATAATGAAATTTTGTCTGCCAAAAATCCGCCTTTTTTTTCGCGCAGCATTACATAACTTTCCTATATTACGTTTATTACTCTGTATATACGTACGTGTACGGTAAAGTACTCGTAAAAAGGGAAGCAAACTCTTTGGACAGTTCGTTCGCCGTTATTGCTACTTCCCTGCCGCCTAAAGTCGTGGCGCGGCCATTTATTTTAATTTCAGAAACTGCTCAAGATTGATGATATAACTAATTTTCAAACTATTTTGATTCAAGAGACGTTACGATTGCATTTGATTTACTGTATCCTTTATTTGCTGTGCTTTAAGAGGATCCGAAAGTTAACATTAGTGGTTCAAACCCTTCCAATTTATTGAAACATAATATTGTACCTTTTACAGCGGGAATGAGTAAATGGGATTGCTATTCATTTTTTAAATTGTGTGTTTCACGTCATACTCTCAAGCCAGATTATCAACATAGCATTTTCCAAAAGACTTTTAAAACACCTTTACAATACATGAGATATTAAAATTTACATAACAGAGTAATTTATGGAGGCATACTCTAATCATAAAAAAGTCACGATTATTAAAAGACGTATTCCTTTTCAATTATTAATAGTATAAAATATAAGCTTGGAGTTCCAATGTAACACTACAGAAAGTATCGGGATTATTTATATGGATATTATACATACTTTACCACTTTATACTGTAATGCAATGACACTAGGAAACTACAGGCGGATTCGGAGAGTCTTTGGATCGCAGCGACGCTTCCGCGTGAGAGAGCTTGGGGGAACGTTCCACGTAGTGTCATAAGAGCCGCCCGCGTCCGAATAGGAAGGAGAGCCTCGTCCGCAGATGTTGGGCCGCACAGAATGAAGAATAACAGATCATAAATATTTGTGAGATGACAAGGTCCTCCAGCCGTGTGGACGGTAACGTGTACTCGTGTTGGCTGGGTGTTTGAAGTGAATAACGGAATATGTAACTCACCAGTGTTGCAAATTTCATCTAGTAGCAAACAGCAATCCGTCTGTACCCTCATCATATGCGCCCTAGCCACCGTCTGTGAATTATGTTAGTACTACGTACACTCGGAGAACATAGTACACACGTACTAATATATTTCCCCAAAATGAAATTTATCACTGTTACAGTTTATTAATTAAACGTTATCGTAACGGATTGAGAGTTGTTCTACCATGCTAGTCATTCAAGCACCTATTCAAGCAAGTAGGAAGGGCAAAATCAAGTTAAAATATTGGAAAATTATTAATTTATTCCTTCAAAATAATATTTATGCCGTTGTTGTTTATGAAATTTTATTATGCCGGCATGACAGTTATAAAGTCATAACAGTCATTAACGTACGAAAATTAGAAAGTAAAACTTCTCCAGAAATGATATTCCTCAATTGGTGTGACCGAAATCAAGAATCTGCGAATTTGAAAAGAATATTTGATATTTTGGGGTATATTATATAAACCTTCTACAATATTCTCAAACATTACTCAAAACTGGTTCCAAATGTTTGCATTCGTTTACGAGTAGAGGAAAAAACGGCTAATAATATCTCAGTATTTATTTCGTTGAGAAATTACTTTTCAAAAAAAGAGTCAGAGAAGAAGGGTGCGATGGCGGACACTTTTGTATGGAGCAGCTGGCAATTTATCGGGTGTGTAGAGTGTAATAACACTGTAGAGGGACCAGATAAAATTTTGAAATTATTACATGTTAAAGTTCGCAATGGTGAAACTGCATCATAAATTTCAACTTCAAAACTTGGTTCAAAATTGGTATTAATAATTAGTAAATTTACGCGGAAAGCGCTTCATTGGCACCCGTTTTATAATTGTTTATAGTTGAGTACAACTTTATTTATTTTGTTACAAAATTAGTACATAATTAGAAGACTATCAAAGGCTAATTAAATTAGAATTTCTGAGAAGAAAGGTGCGATGGCGGTCACTTTTGTATGGCGCCGCTCCCAATTTTTATAGTGTAATAACACTGTTGAGGGACAAGATGAAATATTGAAATTATTACATATAAAAGTTAATTATAACGATGATCTGCATTATAAATTTTAACTTCAAAATATGATTCAAAAAAGGCTTAAAAAATTCGCGAATTTAGACGGAATGTACTTCATAGGCCCCTGCTTTACAAATGTTTATAGTCAAGTACATTATTATTTATTTTGTTACAAAATAAGTACAAAGTTGGTAGAATACTGTATGCTAGTTAAATTGAAATTTCTGAGAATGGGGATGCGGTGGCGGACACTTTGATTAGAGCCGCTCCCAATATTTCGGATTTGTAGAGATTAATAACCCTGATGAGGGACTAGATAGATAAATTAATACATGTAAAAGTTAACTTTCGTGTTAATCTGCCATATTAATTTCAACTTCGAAATTACACACAAAATGTATTGCAAAAAGTCGTGAATTTACGTGAAAAGAGCTTCAATGGCAGCCGTTTTTTAATTGTTTATAGTCGAGTACAAAATTATTTATTTTGTTACAAAATTAGTACATATTTAGTATAATAATATTGGCTAGTTAAATTGGAAATTCTGGGTAGGGGGAAGCGGTGGCGGACACTTTTGTTTAGAGCAACTCCCAACTTTTCGGATATGTAGAGTGTGATAACATTGATGAGGAACCAAATAAAATGTTGAAATTATTACATGTAAATGGTCACTATGGCCCTAAACTGCAATATTAATTTCAACATTGATATTTGCCTCTAAATGTGTTTTAAAAATACGTAACTTTTAAATTACGTAAAATTTACGGAAATTTACGTAAAAAGTACTTTATTGGCAGCTGCTCTTTAATTGTTTATAATTGAGTACAAAATTATTTATTTTGCTAGATAATTAGTACATATATAGTAGAAGAATATAGAGGAGCTGAGTTTGAATTTCTGCGAAGGGGGGTGCGATGGCGGACACGTTTGTTTCTAACCGCTCGCAAATTTTCGTGTTTGTAGACAGTAATATCTTTGTAGAGGGACTAGATAAAGTTTTGAAATTATTACAAGTAAAAGCTTGCTGTGTTGTAAACTGCATTAAACTTTAAAATTTGACTGAAAAAGTGTTTTAAAAATCGGTGAATATACGTAAATAGTACTTCATTGGCACCCGGTTTTGAATTGTTTATAGTTGAGTACAACATTTTTTATTTTGGTACAAAATTAGTACACAATTAGTAGATAATGTTAAGATAGTTGATTTTGAATATATGAGAAGTGGGAACCACTTTTGGATGTAGTTTTTTTATTGTTTATAGTTGAGTACAAAATTTTTTATTGTGGTACAAAATTAGTACATAATTAGATTTTGAATTTCGAACAAGTTGGGGTTCCAGCTTGACGGTGGTCGAGGCTGCTGCAGCAACTCGGAACTCCCTGCAGATTTGGCGCTGCTCCGAAACGGCTTCGTCGAGCACGAAACATCCACGCTTCTCGGAAATCCATCTCGCTCCAGGACTTTGCTTCCACTGAACCGAAGGCTTCCGCGAAATCACTGCAAAGTCTTCCGCGAAAATCTCGGAGAGCAAAATTATGAACGGATTTGGCAATAAAACCGCACAACTTCGTGAATAGAAGTTGGTATATCACAAACCAGGAAATATGTCGTGTTCTTCGGTTACTCGAACGTTAATGAGAAGGGTGAAGAAAGCTGTAGATGGGGTTTCGTCAAAATCCTGGTTAACTCGCGCGCGCTGTGGAGAACTTACGAGATGCTTGGAATGAAATGAACTGTTAATTGGACAATAAACGCTGTACTACCAAATTCATTACCGTTGAAACAACACACTGCTGACAGCATTGACAGCTATACCATTGTTTGTTGGAATGTATTTTCTACGTTCTGCTGATATTGAACTTATTGGAAGGTGTATTAAAATTTTTAATTCTGGTACTTCATAAACTCGCGCCATGCTCCAACCTTATAAATCCTTCCTTTTTCCGAGATTGTACTTGTGGTTGATTATAAAGACGCTGTGTCAATAAATGACATCTGACTTGATTCACGTCTTGAACTGATCTTCTATGTAGGAAACTCATTGAGTTGAAAAATAAAATATTATAATGATTGTCGCAGTATTCTTGCAAACAGTCAATCACAAGGGCAGCAACATTGCATGCTCACATCTGCAGGAAGTAGTCTTTTCCCGAGAGTGCGCACGCCAATCCCCTGAGAGTTTCGCCTTTGTGCCCAGAGCGAAGGGGCTTAGGGGCGTGGGAAGGGTGGAGGGCGGAGGGCGACATATCGACGCGCAGTTGGAGATGGTGCCCGCAGGTAGGGCGGCGTTGGCGGTACCCAGTGGACCAACGACGCCTCTTATGGGGCACAATACTCGTACGAATGGGACGCGTTCTCTGATGGTTGTTTTTAGACACTGGGCGAGTGTCAATTATTTGCACTTATTCGTCGTAGTGATATTGAAAACGTAAAAATACACGTTGTGAGTCGAAAATTTGAAAATACTATAATCGGATAAATGTTCGCTTCGGATAAACTTTCGCTTCACGATCACTTCGGATAAATGTTCTGAGCAAATTCATTCGTATTTACTTTATCGAAATTTCTAAGTGTGTATTTACAAATTAATTGAATAGGATGCAATTACAAGACAGTAATTTTTGGGAAACACGAACAATAGTACGTTTCCTTGAAATATTCAAAAGTGACCATATATGGGATGCAGAAACAAGGCGTTGCTAAGAATTGAGAATTTGCTACAATGGTGTCCATAGAAATGTAAATAACTTTGCCCATTGTTTCGCGTTATGTACAGCGTCGTAGACTCCCAAAACTATCCACCGTTTTGACATTAATACCTACTAATTTATGAATACACCGGTGACTACGTTTTTAAAGTCACGAATATTTTCACAAACTTTCGGAAAGATGCCCACGGAGCGTACGTAAGACTAAAAACAAGCTGCTTTAGGAAAACAGTTATCACACATGTTGAAAACTGATTAACATCTTCGCGCTAAGCAAAAGGCAGGTAATTTAAAAAAGTCAATTAGTCACAATTTGATTGTTTTGGACTTGAGTTTTGCGTCATTCGTTTAAAGACCAATCTCATGAAAATTATCTATTTGCACATCTAGAAAGTTTGAATGACTTAATAAACTGAAATTTAAGTTTAGCATTAAGTATTCGACTTCAGATCTTTTAACGTCGCTTCGAGAATTTGAGTGTTTTAAACACATTCTAAATTAGTGGGAATGACATACGAGTTCAAGTTTTCGAAGAAAGTGGAGAAGTAAAGTTATGGACTAGAGGAATTAATTTAAGTGCAAGTTGTTTCATGGTAAAATATTTTTCTGTAATGCGTTTAATCTACTGATAACATTTTGCATTTCTACTGCTATAAATACTTATCAACCTAATTTTTTAAAGCATATGTAAACTCTCAAAATTAAAAGATCCTGCCTCATTCATGATATGCTTAATGTAGTTGAACACTTCATATGTAGTTGTGACTTCCTAAACCGCTAAATGCATTTTGTTAAAATTAGTCATATCTTACTCTGATAGATATTAATATACAGCGACGGAAAAAGAATACGCCGCAAGTGACATACGACGTTCAGAGAAAAAGTATGAGTAATAGTACTCCGAATACCTTAAGACGCTAAAAGAAGTCGGAAACCGATGACCTATATTTGGAGTAAAAGTAAGGGAATTGCAGGGACAGGTACAGCGGCTGCGGACAATCTGAGTTTTGTCCAAATGAATCCTGACAATCGCCTGCTGATGTTGGGGGGAAGCGCGCGGGGGGCGGAGTGGGTGGGAGAGGGGGCGGAAGCGGCGGCGGCCGCGGGGTCAGGTCAGTGGACCTCTCCGAGGGGCGCTGGCGATCAAATGCGGTCTCCGGCCAGGTGGCGGCGGGGGCGGCGGCGGAGGCTGCGGAGGCGAGAGGCGGGGCCGGGCCGGGTGGGCGTGGCACAGGTGACGCAAGAGGAGGGACTCGGCGATCGCCGGAGGCGAGGGGGCAGCGTATGCGACAGGGCAGCGGCTGGGGAGGCGGGGAAGTGATAAAACTCAGGGGGTCTGGGGAGAGGGACGAAGGGGAAGGCGGTTGTTGAGCGGGGGGGAGAAGAATAAAGAAGCGGGAAGTGGTCTCGGGGGGGGGCGCATGGAAGTGGGAAAGGAGCTGAGAGCGGCGGGAGCGGACTGTAACTACAAAGGGGCGTGGGCAGGGGTGGGGGCGGGGCGAGGGGGGGGGACGCAAGCTGCATTGGCGGTGGGGCGCAGGCTGAGCGGCGGGCAAGGCTGCAGCGGGGAAGCGGCGGCTGCATCGGCGGAGGCGACCTCGAAAGGGAGCGCGATAACAGCACGGGGCTCGCAGAGGTCAGCAAAACGGATACAGCAAAGGCGGTGAAATCAAGAAGTTGCAAAAAGAGAGCTAAAAGACAGAATTGGAAAAAAATTACATATTGCTATAACTTTGTCGTAAAAGTTGGTGAACAAGATAAGGTCATGAACTTGTTGTCGTATCACATATAAATGAATTATAATTTGAACTAAGAAAACCGGAAAACAAAAGAAAAAGATAAATTTATTGGTGATGCATAATGTCACATACTTTATTTGCATTCTCTTAAGTCAGGGCTAGTTTTTCGGTTTTGCTCCTCTCTCTTCTCTGCGGTTATATGCCAGATGCATATACGGCGCCTAAAATATCTACCAGGGCCTTTCGCTACATGCTGTTCCTACCACTTCTCTGGTCTTAGAAGCTGCAGTTCCAGTTCTGTATATCCAGTTCAATCATCTGTAACACAATTTCTTGCGTCCCTGCGTGTGCATCGTCCAGTTTAAGCAACTAGAGTGAGAGAGAAGCTTGTTTTATGGATATTTAAAAAAGAAATTCGGACAAGGCTTCTCCGTCAGCAATTAACAAATAAAGAATTCGCCAAGTCCCTCTGAAATCACTTGTTTTGATGCTACTGGAACAATATCTGACGGTACAATTTCTAGACTTCACCTACGCGAGCAGTATATTGATTGATTAAGTTTGCGCTCAGTTTGAGGTTATGGACAGTGTATATAATCATTGGACACATGAAGAGCTGCAGTCACGGAATAGTCCAGTCAAATTTGATCCAAATAGGTGATCGAATAAAACAAAATCCTGGAGTTTTGAAATTTGGCAAAATCGTTCGTTGGCGCACGTTTTACTAAAAATCCTACACTGTGAGTGGTGAGCCGGGGTGGAGGAGCCATGTAAGGGTGTTTTTACTTATTTTTTGCTTACATCTCTATAACTACTAGTCTCAACACAACTTATGCTGTATACAAAATTGAAGTAGGTAAAATTTCTTACAGAAAAGTTTCCATAAGAATTTTTTGTATACTCCTTTTAAAAGTGGATACAAAAACAAACCTCCTTGAAATTACAAAACCTCACCGCGTCTATGGGGTGCAGCATGTCGTTCAGGTGGGGCGCGGCGGTTGAATATAACGGGCGCAAGCAAAAGGCTCTACATAGCCATATGCTAATGGGGTATACATTTGTACTCACACACACATGCGAAGAAGTCAAAGAAGACACGCACTCTTTATTTTCATTAGCACAATTATTTTAGCCAATTAAATATGATTTTGTGTTTTCCAAACAACCGCTCGGGGCACCTGACCAGTTGCCTCTAGCTATGTTATTGGTTAGTATAAAATGGCGATTTTTATGATTTTTCACTGTTTTTTGTACAAAACTAAACATATCTCCTTGACATCTGCTCTAATCTTAAACTTTGGACATAAATACCAAGTTAGAGCTCAAAAGTATCTAATCTACCCAAATTATGAGTTATGAATTATCAATAGAAACTGGATGTTCAAGAGATTTTTTAAATGTGCGCATACGTTTTCAGTATTTTCTAAAAATGTTTGACATGCAGATTTATGCTATATAATATGCTAACATGCTCACATGCAGCGGATATGTTTGAAATACCTACTAGAGTCACGTAAATGTTGATTTCTCATATATCCATTTGATATTTTTTCTTTCATTTCAGAACACACACCAAACAGTATATTCTGCGTGCTGCATGTCGCCTAGCGCAGAGGTGCGAGCTTCAAGCTCACGCTGTCACCGAGATTCAGGCTGCCTGTCGGCGAGTTCCGCGCCCTGTGCGTGGCTGCGGAAGTGCTCGGCGCTGCAAACCGACAGTTGGTATTAAATTCAATTTTATTTATTTTCAATAAAAACAGTAAGAACTGTGTGTATCGTACGAAGGACTTCCCCGCCAAATTCCATGAATAAACTCATTGTATTTCACCACCATATTCTAAAAATTGAACCGACAAAGCGGAATAAAATTTATCCTACATTTTTGGCGTTTATCATATCTCAATACATTTTGTTTTCCCAATAATATAATAAACTGAAAGGTCTTCAATTATAAGGTATTACTTCTGCAATTTATGAGAACTATTTCTTCAACAGTCATACCGGACTATGATTATAAAGGCAGATTATTAAAAAAATATAATGTCTTTAAAAAATATAAAAACAGCAAGCAAATGCAATTTGAATGGTCTCTATGGTATGGCATTATGCAGAAAACACTCAAGACAAGAGTTAAAACAGCTGAAAATAGGCTTTGAATTTTGGGACCTTTCCTAAAGTTAGACGGATGCACGCTGAAAAAGAGATGAGAGTGTGATGTATATTTTTACCCAATGTACATTTATTTTGCATAATTTAATAAAGTCATTATAAGATTTTTCAAGAATTTATGGGGGTTTAAAACGATAATTACGAAAATGCTATTCTGTAAATAGTCTATATAAATAAAATTATTTTTCAAAAGCAATTGCAGGCGCATAAATAAAAAATAACAGCAAGCACCAAAATTACTTTCATGAATCTGAGACTCGTCACCAAATTAGCAAATAATTAGTCGATATACTGCAATT